GTCATTCAATTGTTGTGTTGCCTTAGAAAGTACCTCGGGGATGCATGGCTTTGTCTAACACTGCCATGTTCCATCAGATTGAACGAATCCCTAGACACTGGCTTAGCTGAATCGATGGCCTGATTATGACCTACCGTAGGTCAGCGACCTTACAAGGTACATCTAAATTTGGGATACCACATGATCCACTATCCAGTCGTCTGCAGTTGTGCAAAATTTGGCGCGGCGTAGCCGCACTGTTCGGAAACCATTCCGGAAAAAACCTGGGGGGGGGGCAATTTGGCCCCCCCCCCCACACCCGAGCGCTTGTTAAACTGGACCAAATCGGGCTGTGCAAACTACGTAGGCGTGCTGCATAGTTGTCTAAGACGCATTACCACCTAAAATATAGTCGTGTATTAATAGTTTGGAATAGACACCAAAAATTAACGCCTTTTCGCCATAATCCACGCCGACGATGACACCATTTGAGGCGCGGTTTGGGGCTCGTTTGATAGCCTTGGATTTGGTGAGCTCATGACGGCATACATTTCAGCAATTCTCGTGAACTTTAAACGCAATGCACCACTGTTTAGCTACTAGTGAAGGTTGGATGCTCTGACACACTATATAAGCTTGCAACATCCATCTTTTTAGTGCGGCATTCAAAAGATGGTAGACTCAACTCGCCTAGGCCCTTGTCTAACCTTGGCCTAACCTTTATATCTGACCCTAGATCAATGGAATTAGTTCATTTAACTGTTGTGTTTCCCAACAAGCTATCTTATGGGTGTATAGCTTGGTCTAACACTCGGGTGTATCAGATTGAACGATTCCTTGGGAATTGTCTTTACTTAATCCATGGACGGACTGACCTGCCGTAGTTCAGCAACCTTAAGCGATACATCTAAATTTTCAAACCGCGCGATCCGCTATTCAATTGTCCACAGCTATGCAAAATCCAGCGCGTCTACCCCGCGATGTTCGGGTACCATTCTGGAAAACCTTCAGGCGGGGGTCAAATTAACCTGCCAATTGAGCGAGTGTTTTTATGCACTGGTGTGCGCACTGTTCAGAACAAATCGGTGCAAACACTGTTAAGAATGAACGGGTTCACACACTGTTAATAATGAAACAGCGCACAAGCCATTAAGAATGCATCGCAGAACGTCAATGACAACATTTCTGCCTCGCACACTAGCACGGCCAATATGTATTCCAGTTTACTCACTTGGAACGAAATGCAGCTTGCCGGGTCATGTGAAAAAGGATTGTGAACTTCGCTGTCAAAACTGCATCGTGATTCGCATCACAATTCGTGGGATGCCTCCTAAAGACAATTGGAGAGATTGCACCAACCCTATCGCTCTGCGTTCCTTGTCTCCCCTCCCCCAACACAAGCAGCACCGGTCAGGGTCAATGCCTTTGACCAGACTGGTTGGTAGACACAGTGCTGATAGCTGATAAATAATGGGCTATGCAAGTCACAAGGGAAGCGTATGGTCATTTACATAGACACGCCACTACGTTTGAAATGGTGCATTCTCTTAGACAAATGATTCCTGATATAGAGATATTAACCTGATACCCAATAACTTATTGCCTGGTAACTTGATCGGGAGAGACACTATTATTCGCATACAATTAACCCGCTAACGACAATCATAACTACATCAGACATCCTGGTTCCAGACAAAAGTGATCAGGGGGAGGGGGAGCGAGCAGTAGCAGCGGCGAAACAACTGGTGGCAGCACGAGCGCTGAAGTTCTCATGTCAGAAGTTGTATCACATAGAACTACTGTCGCGTGGAAGTTTGGGTGATGAAAGTTCTGACACGATTCAATATGGTGCATAATACAACTAAGATAGGTTCTTTGACCGAGCACGATGTCGCGGAGCCAGCTGACAGTACTGCCACAATGCTTCCAATCACACAAAGTCTCATACTCTATGCACGACTTTAAGTAGTTTTAACCCTTTGTATCTACCATCGCAGAGGTGTAGTGATTGCTCGGCGCACAGCTCTTGCTTCGGGCCCTTATCCAGGTGACACCAAATGGCCTTTATCGTGCAGTAGGTCTCTACGACGCGGCCAGGTTGTAACCAGTCTGACATTATGAAGCGAATAGGCGAATGGTTCTCACTGACGAGTCGTCCACGAGCTGGGTCACCACGAGAGTCGTACTGGGACGTGAGCCTGCCCCCATGCCAGCGCCGCACGTTGCGCCGACCGAAGCTGAATTCGAGAACGATCACGAAGATGTTTGCACTGCAATGTATTTGCTTTTTGCGAGCATTTCGTGCCTTGCTTTCAATAGGCCCATACAACGTCAATGTCTGGAAACGGCCACTTCGAATATATGGCTTGGAGCCTGCAAGTAGCCATTACTGCAATACTAGTAACTGGGACGGTTGCATTTGCCTTTGCATGACTCCTTTACGTTAGGTGGACAGCATTACGGCAAAGTATGAGCTTCATATGAAATTTTGCGGCCGATGGTTATATATATATATATATATATATATATATATATATATATATATATATATATATATATGTCAAAATAGGTCAGGTCAATATGTCAAAGTTATGTTTTGGGGTATTTTTATAGCGTTGTTTTGCTAGTAAAGAACAAGCCCGGATGAAGTTAAAAAGAATTACAACATGTGACATACATCACTACGCGCAATTATGCGCTCGCCAATGGCGTACAACACCAACGAATTAGGATGGCGTAATAGCGCATTTATGTCTTATTGCAAGTACGTACATGTTTCAAACACACAGTTTTAACAGGCTCATCCTCACCATTTTTCATTATTGCTCAAATATTCCTTTGTATGTTATTTGTCATGCGGAAACCCATATTTCTGTGTGCAGCCCTAGAAGAAGAAGCGTGCCACATATGCACACGCATGGAGCATGTTCATTTTCCCGAATCACAGTGGATACTGTCATTTTGAGTTCATTATTTCGGAGAACATATGAGACAACATTAACTGAAGTTAGCTGCTTAATGCCATTCAATCCATTTCATTTTAAGCGCAACACTTAATTCCAAAGTTATTTACGGCTAGCCGGGTGGTAGATGGGATCAGCTGATGGCTGATGACGCCTAGTTTTTGCTTTGACTGTTATGATGGTGTACAAAATATCCTAACATTCCAAATGCGTTCAGAACGTGATGCGCGAGTATAACAAGTGTCACAAATTCAATAAACAACGGAAATGACATACGACGTCAGGGGCGCGTAAAATTATATTCGGTAACAGCGCGTAATGATTCATAAACGCGTATTTAACTGCTGCTCTAAGGCTGAGGCGCCAAGAGAAATCGGCATCGTGTGGATCTCGGACTTGTGTTCATGAAATATTCTGGCCAGGCCCTTACACACGAGGAGGCGACATGTCCTGGAGCTCGCAAGCACATATGGGACTTCAAGCAACAGAGTGAGATCCGAGGTGCCTAGAGCAGACGAGGAAAACCCAAAACCAATGTGGTGGGCCCCTGAACGATCGGGAGTGCCCCGGCAGTTAACAAATAGGGCCTCGGTCAGAGCGCAGGACCCTCTGAGCAAACAGAAATAACCAATACCAGGCCACATGAATTAATGTCCTTGAGCGATCAAGAGTGTCTTGGCGGATGAACGTATAGCGCTCCGGACAACAGCGTGGGGTCCTGCGAGCAATATACAGAGCCTGTGACCATTGTAGCGGGCCTCTGTACGATCAAGAGTGCCCGGGCAGGCGAAAGGGAGTGTTTCACATTTGTATGGGGTTTTGGAGTGATGTAAGCATCTTGAAGACCACTCCGCACTGTTCGCAGCTCTGTCCTTCTCAAGGCCTGAAATCCGCTAATTTCTGAGCTACACGCCCGCGAAGATGCACAAACTTTTCCTGCAGACTGCTTCAAGGGCATTCAGGCATGCACAACGCCATAGCAACGCCATCCAGATCCTGCCACGCCACTGGCCACGCGGCGTTGGAAGCCAGGAGGAATATTGTCGTCGAGCCTTTCAGATCTGGCGTCCGTGAACACGATTCCCGAGTACAGCGGGAGTCAATTGGCTCTGCCAGTGCTGAGCGGGCTGTGCAAGCTTCAATCACCAATAATGTTTTGTGCTTTACCACAAAATAAGCTGCACGAATTTCTAACTATTACGGAAATAGGATTTCTTATCGAATAATTTACGAAAAGCGCCATAACCAAACATGTGAACGCAAGTCGACTGCTTAAAATGACGGACAAATAGACAAGAACACCACGACAAAGGGCCAAAACACAAGCAAATAACGATATTTGGCTGGGAGAAACTATTGAGGAAGGCTCCTAAGTGAGGCAGTGGAACACAGTGGACGGCTCCTTAGCACTCGGGTTGATTCGACAAGTGGACATTTATGCTCCAGGCAACAGCGTAGGACCTCTGGACAGCGTAATGAGCCTTAAACCATCTCAGTTATTACCCTTTCAATCAACTTTTTGTCTGCTCGTGGGATGTCACTTTCTCTTGCGACTGTTGGCAAACTGAAGGCCAAAAGACACTCAGTTTGGATAAGTTTTGTGTCGAACATACTGCACCTGTGCGGCCGGCTATGAGCCCCTTCAGGGCCCAAGGGGCTAAGGCCCTGTGACTTCCCTCTGCATCCACCACTGGTTGGTGACACCATGCATACTTCATTGCGCCTGTGGTCTACAGCAACCGTGTCGTAACCTCGTATTTCCCACGTTAATTACCTGCTTCAGCTGGCTGGTCATTGTTTACTTCTGCCAGCTGGTTGGTCACGTGACATTAAAGGTCCGGTGCACATCACCAATAACGACCACGCTCTTCGGATAAGGCACTGGTGTCTGAATACATTAAGCACTTCTAATGCAAAAACTAAAGAAGTAAGTACAAAACATAATTAAGAGATGAATATTCTAACGATATTCAAGAAAAAAACAAGACCTAATATGGTCTTGTATCTTGCTGACTTCGTGATTGAGCAGGTAGCCTTCATTGCCCTTCAGTACGCATCGCACCCTGGAATCGTCTCTCCATTGTGTTTGGGACTTTCCGTTTGGGTGCTGCTAGTGTCGCGCTGCCTAAAAGAAACCCCAGAAAGAGTGGTTGGCGTTTGACCGCTGGAGGGACTCTGTCAAGATGTCTTCTCCCAGCGCAGGAAAAAAGCGAATGGACACGGACGTCATCAAACTGTATCCTCTGAAGCATGCATAACATGCGACCAGCAAAAACAATTAGCTGGTGTGGCCTATGTAGGAGAGCTTTAGGCCGAGTATGCATGTTATACGAAGTTTCAGTTTGTCTTATTTACTTCACATCTGTTGCAGTATCAGCGGATGGGGTAGGCAGAAATGTGGTTGAACTGTGCAGTGCGCAAGGTTTAAGCATTAACTGAAATGTCTTGATGTTTTGGCTGCAAGAGATTTCAGTCTGTGGGACTGAAGTATGCGGCAACAGGAACTTAAGTACATTTCATGTCTATATCTATCAAGGTTTTAAACACTGCTTTGGTAGTTAAATTACATGGATTTAAGGACAATGCTTTGGAATGTACATTGCTCTCTTGCATGATGCTATAGCTGCATTATTTTTGTGCTGGTAAACATACATGCTTTGTTAGTAAGTTTGTCCCAAAGTTGCAGGTGGTATCATGTGGTATGATTATTTTTTATTTGCATTATGTGTGATATGAATGGTGCTAGGTATTTTGACAATGACAAGCCAGCATGAGAAGTCCTTCCTTGACTTCTAGCTCAGGATTGAGAGCAAGCATGAAGTGACAATAATGGGAGGTCTCAATGAGTTTTCAGTCAAGTTTTATGGACCAAAAGGCAGTAAGTGGACTGACTTATCTATGTTTGTTCTTATTCTGTCAGCTCATGAACATTTGAAGGTTTTGGTTGCCATCTTTTAAGCAGAGCATGACTGATGATGAACCCCACGTTAGTACAAGTATAGTAGAAGGGTGTTGTGGATCTTCGTGAACTTGTTCCTTTTTGGTAAAATATGTTCTTCAGGAGTGGCCCAACATATTTAGCTTTTGATACAACCCCACATTGTGAATGTACTTTATCTCATATGCAGCATGAGTTAAGCCTCCCACTAGCCTGCTGCTGGAGTTGATCCTGCTCAGCCTTTGGCTGTCTAAGTTGTGCCAGTCTGACAAGTTCTTATGTCCTGCAGTGGTGCAGTCTGATCACCTGTGCATGTGCCATACCCCACTGGCGCAGATGGACCAACTGGTGTCTCTCTTCCACAGCACCATATGAGGGTGGGGTGTGGAAGGTGCGAGTGCACCTGCCCGAGCACTACCCGTTCAGATCCCCCAGCATTGGCTTTATGAACAAGGTGTACCACCCAAACATCGACGAGGTGTCTGGCACTGTTTGCCTGGATGTCATCAACCAGGCCTGGACAGCCCTGTATGGTATGTCAGTTGGACTAGTTCTGATTTTGAGGTTATTTGTGATGCTATGTTCTGTAGTATCAGTGCCTTATTGTACAGTACTTTGTCTTTTTTCTATTTTCTTAGCATCTGCAGTGTTGGTGAAGCCTTCTTATTTACAGTTATCTGCCACATCTCTGAAATGCATGTGAACAACTTTTCACATGTAATATTGGAAATAAGCATGCATCCTTTGATGCTAGTGCATTCCCAACCGTCATGTTCATCTAGCGTGTCAACATTACTGAGCTCTTTATTACCAGCGCCTGCTCTCAATCACGAGGACACCATTCCTGATGCTCCTGTGATGACCAAAGATCATCATTCGCCACAGCAACCCTGCAGCACCTTCACTCACAACCATACCTGATCCCTTCAGAAATGGAGCCACGTCTCAATTATTCCATCACGTTGTCAATCATAGCTGGGTCGCCCTACCACAGAATTGCTACTTCTCACACAGCCCGGCATGACAACCGGATGGACCGAATGCCCATCCTGCCAACCTGATGGCGCCGCCCCTGGGTTAAAGGCGTCGATGGACTTTCGGACAGCCGGTCGCATCAAGTCCGGGCCTGGTGATTGTGACGCTGGCGTTCAGTGCCTTTGATACAGCCACTTAAAGCGATTAGTTATTTGCAGCAAGCATGTCTGCGACTGGCTGCCAAAAAATGCGGAGTACGGCATGTATTGTTTTCCGTTCCAGATCTCTCGAACATCTTCGAATCATTTCTGCCTCAGCTGCTTACCTACCCAAACCCGATAGATCCGTTAAACGGGGACGCGGCAGCGTTGTACATGCACAAGCCTGAAGAGTACAAGAAAAAGGTCATCGGTGAGTATATGCGTTGTCAATGTGGCCAGCGTTAAAGAGAATAGAAGAAATGAATGCATGTAATCTGGTGCAGCCTGTTAAACCCGTTCAGACTCTTTAAATGTGCTAACTCTTTTCCCATCGTGACAGAAATGCTAAGCATCAGTGCCTTTGAGCCGAATCCGAATCACAACATGTTGTCGATAGTTATCTCAGCTGGCTTGGTGCACCGCCTCTCCAGTGCCGCAACTCGGCAGCGGATCTCCCGCCGACCGTGCGCGGCCGAGCCGCCGACCCATCAGCACCACCCTGCTGGCAGAGTACGTGCGTCGCTACGCCACGGAGGAGGCGCTGGCGCCGGCCGAGCCCGCCGACGCCGACGCGTCCTCGGTCAGCGGCAGCGAGTCGTCCATGTCCGACTTCTCGGAGGACGAGGCGCGCGACATGGAGCTATAACGGGCGGCTCCGGGCGGCCGCGCAGCTGGGACGGCAGGCGTGCTAAGTGGCGTCCGCCGCCGGCTGGGCCCGACCACGCAGCCCACCTACACTGCAGGACCGGCGAGGCGTCGGCGGTCGGACACCAGCGCACGGCGCGGCGCGCTCTTCACGGCACCGACTCCGTGCCACACGAGAGCGGCTGAGAACACTGCTCCTCCGTAGCGCGGAGCACCGCCCTGGACGAAGTCCTCTGAGGAGGGCTGGGGTCAGGTCAGCCGCCCGGTCCCAGTGCGCCGGGTGTGCCGCCCGCGGCTGCGTCTTAAGCGCTGGACCTCCGCCGGGCCGGGCGCGGCAGAGGCCGTCGGTCGGTAGATAAGCTTGTTGGGGGTTGGGCGCGGGTATACGGCCGTACCGCGCCAGGTGTCCTGTCTCGGTCAGCGGCGTGACCGAGGGTCACCGGCCCCGAGTGTGCTCCGCTCACCCCCGTGTTACGCTTCACCGTCCCACCGCGACTTGGGAGAGCAGCAGGACGCGCTGCTCTCTGGACGGCCTTTCCTTAGTCGCTGATCTCGTATCCCGATCCTGCGGGCCTTGTCCTGGTAAGACGTTTTACCTTGTTTTACAGCCTGGCAGCGTGCGACGGCGTGTGGCGCGAAAAAAAAATTGGTTCGTTTCGACCAAGCCTTTGTTGCCGATTGGTAGTTCGCTGCCATTCGATTAAAATTAAGCAGTGGACATCTCGGATGGATAAAGTTATCAAACTTATTGATAATCATTCGGTACATGCACAATGGCTCAGCATGACATGTGCTGCCCCAAATGTCAGTCTGGTCTTCCGTCAACCGTCAAACGTTCAAGTGCCGTCAAGCTTTAATACCAATGAAGCCACACCAGGGGCGCAGGCAAGGAGGAGGCAGGCCCCCGGCGCCCTCAGGCTTGCTTTTTTGACCATAGATGGTTTCCGAAAGGAAAAAATAGCGTGGTGCGCACTAACTCAGCTCCCTTTTCATCCCCACCCCCCAAGGAAATCATGGCTGCACTCCTGAACCGCATCCTTTCCTTTTCGGTCGTGCTTGGGCTGCAATAATGCCATGTTTACCAATAAAACAGTGTGATAACACATCACTTACATGAGAGAAAGTATTGCATAAACCGCAAGGAAATGTCATGTAATTGTGATCATTGCATTTTCCTGCTTAGAGCGATTGTTTGGCGAAATTGTAGTACTATTTTTGCCACCAGATGGTGGAAATATTTCAGCGAAATCGGCAAGTAGCGTGTCTTATAATCATCAGCGTACGTGTTCTCACTTTTCATCGTAGGCTAAGTGATGTATGCCTATGCGGCAGTTTTCGAACTCTGTGTGTCGCTTTCGCGTCGTGATTGCAAGAAGGTGTAGAAGCACCCGGGCAATCGCACGAGACCGCGCCGGTGTCCCAGACACTCCTTCCGGACGCGGCAGCCCGCAGGCATGCTGCGGCTGCCGTGACCTGGTGAAGGTGTCTCCCGCCGAGGCGAAATGACATTGGTGGCATAACCGGAGTCGGTGGGATGTGCTGCCGACCCAGGTCAGCCGTCGCAGCGCCGCCGCTTGTTCGACTCACCCTGGACAGTTGCTGTTTGACATCGGACGGCGTCTGGGTGTTAACAATAAACCATTGTCAACCAATTTGTGTGGCCTCCTACGAGTACTGCTTGAGAGGATGGATCATATTGATTCTGCATCAAGCGTAGATCTTACCTCTGAAAGTCTTCGTCAATGAAATGGTGACTGCATGGCCCTGTAGGCAGTGGTCAAACATTGGCATGACCAGTGGACGACGAAATCCCACATGCGTTGGCGAGTGATATGATTCTTTGTCGCGCGATGTACGATTCGGCATTTAACAAATTGGATGAGCCGCGCTGGTGGGAAAATAAGAAAAGGCGGATTTTTAGCCCAGGCTAAAGCAAACTGGTCAGAAATAACGTACGATGGGCCTTTGGTCCCCTGGTATCTCCTGTGTGGCATCAAATAGCTATTTTCTAACGTTCTGAACTAAGATGATCTGAAGCAGCCACTGCATCATCAGTCGGCCACGTTCAAGCCACGGGCGTCTAGAAGGGAATCATATCCACGTTTCCGCTCGGATCGAGGATCGAAGAGTTGCTCCTACAAGTGGACGGTCTCGGCGCGAAATATCGCTTTATGACGCAGGGCGGCTGTGAATCATATATGCGGTATCCACGATACACAGGTGCAGACGTTGGTTGGTCCCATATAAGGTAAATATCCGGATTTACGAATACCCTGTGTCTATGAGGAGCTGGAAGCGTTAACAAGTGAAGAATTTGTGTCGAGGGACCCGGGTCTGCCATTGGTAAGTTTTCAGTTGTTCGCCGTAAGGGCGACGGTGGCGGTAGCAGTAAGTAGCAGCAGAGACATGTAGGAGGCACCAGGCGGTGCAGCCACGAGTCAGTGAGTTCACTGGTACATGACATACGTGGTGTTTTCCTGCCATTGAACACCTACCAGGTAGGCAGGCAGATACATGCCCATCATGATTTCTACTTTAGGGCATATGCATCAGATGAGAAGCTATCTGTCACATCAGAACTGTCCAGAGTAACAGCAACATTCCTGCAATAGTTTCAGCATATGCACACTGTAAGTCTGGGAGTCCATAGTTTAGTGTGCATTCACCACCAATATCAGCATATGCAAGCTCATGTTTGGAGGAATTGGGTATAGTGTTTCTAAGGGTGTCAAAGGAAAAATACTCAAAAGACATGTTTCCAGGTAAACAAAATTTGAAAATTCAGGGCTATTTGACCAGGCCTGAGACTGATGCTTGCATGCTACAGGCATAGAGCACTGACATATAAGCACCCTGTAATCAATTATTTTTTTGCAGGCTGGCCCTGGTGCATGACCAGATGGTCTGGATGATCAGCATGCATGAACACACACCATGGGTGCATGGTGTATAAATTGTGGTCAGCATACTTGATGCATGAATTGGCCTGAGAAAAATACAATAATAATCAGATAAAAAGATGTGAACCCTTAGTGTGAGGCCACTTTTCACTACCATTGCATGGTGTTACCCATATTTGCTCTATACTTGATTGCTGCATGATTTTGTGTTGGTGTTAATTGATTATTTAGGTCTGAGGCATTTTTCTTCTCATAAATCCTTATAATCAGGGATCTAACTTTTATGCCAGGATGTGCTAGCACCACCATGCACATTCTGTAATGTTTTCTCAGTGGGAGAGGAAGCAAGGGATGCAAAATATAGATGTTTGGGGGTGGTATACATAAGTAATGTGCTTCTTTTATGTTGTTCCTATACTCATTAGACTCATGGCTGGATCAAGAACCTCACAAAATAGCTCAAATTATGAGTTTTTGACCATATTCAAAGCACACCTAAGCCCAGCCAAATTACAGAACAGATCTTCCAAAATGTTTGTTGATTTGTTTTGTGAGCCGGCTGTGATCACTAAAAAATAGATAACTATAATCAAAGTTGTTTTCAAGATCTTTATCATGCTTGTTTAAAATATTTGAAGTCCCTGATTTGCAATATCAAATTGTATGAGCATGTATGATCAGGTCAGCAATCAGCAGCTTTTATTGTGATTGGAAGGTCATAAGATGTACTCTGCATGATTGGTTGTGTCTCACAGATTCCAGAGAGTGACTGTGCTGTCCAACATTTTCTGTGTTCTTTGGGCTGTTCACCGCCAATGGTATGCTCCTAGTTATTAAAGTAGGTATTATGTTTGGTCCTTTGTCCCGTAGATTTGTTTGCCCAAGGTTTGGCTAACTGGCCACAGATTATAGGAAAGTGGTGTGTGTAAATGCCAGAAGAAATTTTGCAAATATTTGTGTTGTTGTCATTCTCAAACTTATGTGCTGTGTGGAACTCCATCAAACTGTCTTGCTCTATTTTACATATTTATAGCACATATGAATTCTGTAGTGATGAGATGTAGGTGAATCTCATGTTACTGCTGCAAAACATCAGCAAGTAATGTTTATATGCTGAAATTCACCACTTGCATCATGCAGGTCCAGCCCATCTGTATCACCAGACGGCCTGCTTGTTGGCATCAGCACCCACGCCTGCGCTGCAGGCGGCTAAACATCAGCCACCATGGAGATGCTCAACAAGCTGAGGTCGACCGTGTCGCAGGCGGTGTCGCAGGTGTCGGGCGTGCTGCCTGGCAACCCGGTCACCCGCGAGTACGAGGTCTCGCAGCACATCGCCAGTGCCGGCCCTGGTCAGTGCTGCCCCTCCTCCACTGCTCTGACGTCCCTGGCCTGACGGGCGGATGACAGCGGTGGTGATAGGGCGCGGCCGGTGTGGGTGTGCAGCCTTCCACCAGTCATGATGTCCTTGGACGGCTCGCATCGCTGCTGACTCATTTCTTGTCGAAACTTTTCGTCTTCCATACCAAATGCATGTTGTTGTAAATATAATCCAAAGGATGGTGTTAATGTTGTTTTGTTAATACCCATTAGGTATGTGTTGCTGGGTTCTAGTGAGGAGGCATTGTCTTTGTGATTCTGTGTTGGTACTGCAACATGCTTTTATGTAGATGTTTTACATGCTGATTGATGGGGCACTGGGGTGCTGGTACTGGTGATTGAGCTGTGCTCTGGGAAACCAGGGGTACAGGGTTTGGCTTTCTGCGGTGCTCGCCCCTCCTGCCCGGGTGCCTGGCGTCCGCCTGGATGAAAGGCGGGCTCAGGAGCTGAGAGCGTCGTAAGGCTCCATTGGCGGCGACGGCAGCGTGCTGTTGGCTTACGACCACCGCCGGTTTGGCGTGGTGCACGCGGTAGCTGTGGTGCGAGCTGACGCTCCAGTGATGAGTATCGCGGTCTCGTCCGACGTTGTGCTCGGCGCTGTCGACAGGTCTCATGTGGAAGGTGTACTCGGCCGTCAAGAAGTCGACGCGCGAGGAGGCGTCTGTGTTCGTGCTGGAGAAGCGTCTGATGGACCAGTGGGCGCGCCGCGACCGTGACCTGATGCTGGAGACGCTCAAGCAGGGTGTCAGTCAGCTGACGCGGCTGCGGCACCCGCGCGTGCTCACCGTCCAGCACGCCATGGAAGAGTCCAGGTCAGCCGGATGGCCGCGCCGAAGTGGGATGACGCACTTTGTTACAACGCAGAATAGCTCTGAACAGGAGGGGGGGGGGGGTGGGGGGGAGGAAGTTCGAGTATCATGCTTGCAGTCTCTCTGCCAGTTGCCACATATGTCCTCAATTTCTTCGTCCAGAGTTTGTATAATTGCATTCCAGCATTAGCCTGTGTAGCCCTTTTCCATCTCCTCCTGGGTAAATGAATGTGATTCGGGCAAGTTGCTATGAAATCATGTAACGGGTACGTCTCTGTGTTGGGCTGTACGATATAACTGGCAGCGATTCAGTTTGTATCATGGTCAAGTTGTTCACATATGTTAATCCGTAGGTTTGATATTTAATGCTTAAATGTTGTCATTGCCGTGGTAGGCTTCTAGAGACCCCGTTCCCCCATGTCGGTGAGCGCCGACAGCGCCACGTGGTGTCACCTGAGGCCGGACTAACGCATTCCGATGGTCCTCAGGGAGAGTCTGGCCTTCGCCACGGAGCCCGTGTTCGCCAGTCTGGCCAACGTGCTCGGCCAGACGGAGAACACGCCGACGCCGACGCCGGCGGCGCTGCGCGACCACAAGCTTCACCAGGTGGAGGTCAAGTACGGCTTGCTGCAGGTCAGTGGCGCCGCGGGGCCGGCCGGCGCGGACGGAGCCGAGCGACGCGCTCGGTGGACGCAGAGAGGGGTCTCGAGTGCGGCGGGGCTTGGGGTGTGGCATGAGGTTGATGTCAGCTGTCGTGCCTCGTTATCTGTTTGGCCGTGATTGAGTGGTCGGGCCCGCGGAGTTTGAGTGGCATGCGTAGAGTGGTGTGCCATTTCCGTCTGTTTTTTGTTTCCTTTCTTTTTCAAGGTTTCGATACCAACATTGCAATATGCAGCCCGTTCTTCGGCATGGTCCCTGAACGAACACGTTCGCCACCTTGCAGTGATTTTTCACGTTCATTTAGAATTTAAACTGCTCCAAAGTCATCGATTCTGTGAGCTGCAATGGTCAGTCCCCGTGAGGCCCCAGCCTGGTCAGTTTTCAAGCGTT